CTAAAAAGTATTTGTATGCATCACATCAAATTCTCGGGGTGAATATATGAATGAGTGCATATGTTAGAAATTTGGTTCACTAATTTCCCGCTGACTCCTACATTACACTCCTACATTACACTGCTTATTACCTGCAATCAATAACCATACCACTCCCCTAACAAATAATGGTGAATTTACATATGTAATAAAACCTGAAATGATAGGCATACCTCATAAAAAATTCGTGTAGTTCATCCTTGGTCAGTGGATAGCCATTAGAAAATGTCACGAACAAAGTTCTCTCATCAGGTGGAACATCAGATAGGCGTTGCGTGATCTGCAGAGAAATATATTATTATTTTCTCTTCAACCTATGAACTGCACTAGATATTTGGATGAAACCTATCAAGTCTTATTGGAATATAAATGAATGAACATGCAAAGAATGATCAGGGATGATGAGTTACTGCATCATTATGGTTCTCTCTTAAGCTCAACTTATCCAGCAATGTGACCAAATGGGAGGTTGGCTGATAATCATATACTTCGTCCTCTGTATCATGGTGGAGCATACGACTCGTTTGAGGATGGATATTTCTTGAACTTGAGCCTTCTCCATGACATATTTGACTTGTTTGAACACGGATATTTCTAGAACTTGTGCCTTCTCCATGATGCTTCGGGTTGTTAGAATACAAAGCCTTGATCTTGGTAAGAAGGTGTTTCTGCATATAGATGATTTTGGTGAATCAGAAGGAGTAGAAAATACTTCACAAATTATTAACAGATCTTTCATTACTCTCACCGAGCTATTAGGAATCTGTTCATGTGATGATTCTCCATTGGCCTCTTGGTATAGATCTGTCATCTGCATAGATGATAAAGCAAATCACAAAAGGGTAAAACCTTGTACTAGTAACAGATCTGATCTTGAATAACTAAATATGAACACTGGTCTTACTGAGATATTAGGAATTTGTTCATGCGATGATTCTCCATAGGCCTCTTGGTATAGATCCGTCATCTGCATAGATGATAAAGCAAATCACAAAAGGATAAAATCTTCTACTACTAACAGATCAGATCTTGGATAACTAAATATTAACCCCAGTCTTACCGAGCTTGCAGCAGGAACCCGATCAGTCCTGGACTGTCCATAGGCTTCTTGGCGCAGGTATGTCATCTGATTACGGACAAAATTCATCTCTATCCTTTCTCGAAGATCTTCTAAGGCCTCATAACAGACAGTATTGAGGTAGAGAGAAATTCCTTCAATAGCTTGGTTCTGAAAGTCACTTCTTGGTATAGATCTGGCCTCTGAACCACCGAACGCAAAATGGAGAACTTCCAGAAAACGTTTTGCAGAAGAAACAATTACGCGAAAATGGTTGTCACCAAGAGAGTATATGTGCTGAAGGTAACCAACTTGGCCATTCCCTTGTTGGAGCCACAACCAAAAGGCAATTATCTCCATGGAAAGGGAAGACTCAACTTGAAGACCAAGGACCAAATGAAAGAACAACACTCGAAGTAGCATATAGGAAGAATTTGAAGCATTATTCAGTGGATCTGGTGCCATGGAAGGTGTGGCAAGCATACAGGAGTGTATAGAAGCATTGCTAGTTTTGAATCAACAAAGACATACGGGGAAGAAGAAGGTAGTAAGACTAAGGTATGCGGGCTTGCGTATCATTTAAGTAAATCCAGAAGGTTCAAGCGGATGTTGATTGACAAATTAATGCCTCCCAAAGTATGAGTAGAGGATAGGCAGAGGCGACAAAAAAAGCAAACTGTTGATAGTCTATACTCATTAATGGCAGCCCCATTATAGCCATACTTGCCAAATAACTGCTGATTTTCTTTTTTTGCATGGGTCACCTTTTTGGTATTCTCTACTGTACAAAATCACCAACTATATCACGAGACATATAAAAAATATATGGAAATATTCATTATTTAATGCTATTTAAAGCGCTTCTATGTATATAGTTACATATACATAGAACTGAAAAAAGACGCATGCAGTTTGCACTCTGTGAAAAGCTACCCACTTTATGTTGGCAAATAATATATGATCATTAGTTACCTGATCTCTGAGCTAATGCCTCATCTTTAGACTTTGGTGTTCCATAATTCCTTCTTCTCACAACCATCAATCCCATCTAATCGCCTAGATGTTTTTCACCATCTGCGAAGATGGAGAAGACTAATGGAAACACTCGCTGATTAGCTGCACAATGGCACGGTGTGTGTGTGCATATGTGCTTTAGCTCATGAAGTGTTCAGTGAGCATATCTCGAGAAGTGCCGCTGGTGACCCACGGGAATGGCTAATGGAGCTCCAGGATACCGTTAACTAGTGAAGAGTTTATCACAAGGTGCTCATTATTTTATGGGCGATCTGATCGGCCAGGTGTAAAGCAATCCTCGAATCAAATTTTCAGTTGCCGTGTAATAATTATGGGGTTTGCTAATGGACTTATCGGTGAGCTCAAGTTTCTATCAAAGAAGAACATAGTTTTAAATAGCCGGCTATAGCAAAGTTATAGCCCGCTATAGCCTTTTTAGCAGGGTGCCGCTAAAAGGCCATTTTCATAAATAGCCTGCTTTAGCCCGCTATAGCCCCGCTATAGCTGATTTAGAGGCCCACCATTATTTTCCATGGCTCGCTATTTAAAACATTGAAGAAGAATGTAAAGGTAGGTAATTCGCCAGTGAAAACAAAACCGCCGGCAGGTGGCATCTGCAAACTTAATGTTGATGGAGCAATGACGAATTCATCAAACAGGAGATCAGCTAGTGCAATTTGCAGAGCAGAGGATGACTAGCATCCACACTACCGGAATCGGCCTGTTTGCCGAGTGCATGCTCGTTCGCCGAGTGTCTTTTTTTCAGGCACTCGGCAAGCAAACCCTTTGCCTAGTTCTTGGGAAAATACACTCGGTCAGCTCATGGTTTGCCTAGTGTTACACTTGGCAAACAAAAAACACCGACAAAACAATTCGTTTTTTATGTTTTCATTATATTTATTTATTTAACTTTGTTTTTTGTATTTTCATTCTATTATTTCTTTCCTTCTCTATATTTTCATTCTTTAAATTATTTCTTATTTTTTTCTCTTTTATTGTCTTTTCTTTTTTCCTTTGCATAACATTAAAAAAGTTGGGGAAATTGTATTCGAAAATATTATTTATATTAATGAATCTACGTTTAAATATTATATCCAAGAAAAAAAAGAGGAATTCCAAATATCAGGGTGCCAAGACTCGACCCAAAACATGAAACTTGTCGTTTTTTTTATTTTAAAAAATGCAAGCGAATTCTGAAAACATAAACATGGTGTCATTATATGATCCCTAGAGGTTGTGGTAAGAAAATTTAGAAGGTTCCGTAAACTTTATGATGTACGCTACTTAGAAACTGAAGCATGTTCAAGTAAGAATCATGGTTTTGAGAAGGAGCAGGTTAGGTTTGATTGTGAAGTGTCGGTTGCTTCATTGTTTGACCTTGAAACTTTTTCTACCATCAATATATACCATCACATGTTCCATGTCAAAATTCGCCTTTCCTGTTCTTGTTTGCTATATTTAAGTCATTACATGCATTTCTAGTCATTTAATTTGATAGATATAACTCAAATTCAGACTGCAAGTGTGTGAAAAAGTTATAAAAAATTGGTTAAAAATTATATTTGTGTTAATGAACTTATGTTTAGGCCTTATCAAAGAAAACGGCAGGAATTCCAAACATCCGGGGAAGCCAACTCGATCTCAAACCTGGATCTTGTTGGTTTTTAATTTCAAATAATGCAAATGAAGTGTGAGAAACATGAAACTTGGCATGGTGTTATTACCTGACACTTGGAGGCTGTGGTAAATATGTTAGAAGGTTTCGCCAAATTTCATATCTTTGAGAAAGAATCGTGGTTCGGGAGAGAATATGTAAAGTTTTTGAAGGTAATGATCATTTCTTTATTGTTTGACATAGAGTTTTTTTCCTATGCTCAACATACACCATTACATGTTAAAATTTGGCCTTTTTTTGGGTTCATTTGCTATATTTAATACATTAAGCGCATCTCTAGGAATTTAATACATTGAGTGCATTTCTAGGCCCTTTTCTTGCTGGTATTTTCCGAAGGGGCCGAACCCCTTGCTTGGCAGTGTATATGCTAGTTTGTTTTGCCGAGTACCTGTTTTTTGACACTCGGCAAAGGCTTCGCCGAGTGCCCTATGGAAAGAACTCGGCAAAGAGCACTTTGTTGGCGGGGTGTCTACTGAGTGCAGTTTGCCGACTGTAACACTCGGTGTAGACTTTGTCGGGTGTACTTATCACTAGGAAATCACTCGATTGACAATAGACCGTATCGTTGAGGTGATGGCCTGCCGAGAGGACTAGGTCATGCAGTTGACCTGAACGTACGTGCACCTTGTTCCGGTACCTTCAGATTATATATTGGTGGCAGAAGATATAAATAAAGGAAGCAAATGCGTATATAGAGCTAGCCTCTGGGAACACTCTTCACGATGAGCTTTCTTTGAAAATTTTTTGTTTAAATTTGAGAGTAGAAATTCAAATAAGGTGGAAGATAGGCTAGCAAAACTTGCAATCTCTATGTTGTTACCGAAATACTTGGCTCTTGGAGCCACCTGATGATGCATCTTCCTTTCCAATAAAAAGGAAAAAATAGAGGTTAACATTTAACTGACTTCACACAATAACTACCATAGATGAAAATAGGTTTCAAGGACCGAATGTTAATGTTGATATGACCATTATACATACCAACAATACGAATTTGTAATCCTTAACAAGTAGAGATTTTAGTCCTCACAGTGGCATACATCGGAAGTTCAGAACAATACCAATAAATATAGGTCACAAATGGGTAATTAAGGTGCAGTAGGCACAAGAGTAATCTTAGAAGTGCAGATTATATTCGAGTACGCCTCCAGAATGCTTGGCATACATAGAATATTCTTGAATGTTTATGCAAGGAGTAGGTCATCACACTTCACTTTATTTCTTCTTCTTGGGGACGAACTGTCGAGCCCGTATGTGTTTTCCGCTGCTGGTCATGAACTTGACTCTAATGTTCCCATCTAGAACGCGGAAGAGTGTCAACTGCGAGTAAAATGTAACGTGTGCGTATAAAGGTAGCCTGTCTTCGATTGGCACCTCTATACTTATTTCTTCAATATCTCCATAGTGCCTGTGACATGGAAGGAATTAATGCAACATAATTAGCAACTGCATATATAGGGAAAACTAATGCAATGAATTCTCCTCATATCAATTTCTTCTTCCTTATGATAGTTTTCCTGTTTTTATGTCATAATATCTAACTGTCAAATTTACCACTTTCTTTTTTGTGAAAGTCAAATTAACCGCTTAATTAACTAGTTATATATCTACATCTTTTTGCTTATCACTTGCCAAGGCATCATACAAACCTACTAATTTGTCTGGCAATGTTGAACAATATCTTGTTAATTACCTCTAAAAGTTACCTCACTGGTCATATTCAATCGAAACAGTCATCTCAACATTGTTTCACCGATCAGACTATATATCCTTTCAAAAAAACCCGACTATATATATATGTACGAGTAACATATATATAGTCTTCGTTATATGTAACATGTTCCCAGTACATTAGTAAATTGGTATAATTACAACAATATATGTTAGCCATTTTCAGGGTTCAGTGATATACAAAATAATCTACTTCAACATGTTGATTCTTCCAGTAGCCTTTCATCTATATAAATAAATTAGGGATGCAGAAGCTTACAAAATGCATACTAAAAAACATATAACATTTATTTCTTGTCAATTTTCCGCTTACACGCTCCCAATCGAAACCTATGTCCTCTATATCTAAGTAGTTGATCATCACTACTTCTATTGATCTCAACATGCATACATGAAACCTCATGAAAGGCCTACCTCAACATGTCTAGGAAAAGTTTTCCATTATTACTTGATCCCCATTACTTCTATTTATCTCAAAATACACATATATATTCTAACCACACATGTCACCTTATCAAAGATCAACGACAACATGCATGTGATTTTTTTCATTTATTATGCTATTACATTCAATAAATATTTTCTTAGCTATATTTGTAGTCAAATATAATATATATTATGTGTTTTCAGTTTTATTTCATATATTATTAATCCAAATATTCATGTTTCATGCAACCATTTTCATTAAAATATATTGCTTCTCGCAGAAATGCATGGGGGGTCATCTTGTTAATGCAAATAACAAACAAACCGTCTCTGCTTCTCAAGTTGGACATAAAAAAGCCTTTTCACTCTACGCAACAAGAATATTTATTGGACCTTTTGCAGAAAAGAGAGTTCCCTTCGAGGTTTTGTGGCTAGTTGATCGATCTGTTGCGCATGTCATCCTCTTATTTTCTTCTTAATAACATCTAGGGTAGCCTACACAATAACGGAGATGCCATCGTTAGGGGAAGCCATTTTCCCCATTCTTGTTTGTCATCACTATTAAGCCGTTGTGGTAGGTTTTGGATTTGGCGATGGCTAACGGTTGCCTTCCATGGATTCAGAGGTTCGGTTGCATGTCTTCACGCCTCCCTTTGTGCAGACCACGCTTCGGTTTTTGTGGTTGCTATCAAAGAAGATGTCAGTAACATGTCAAGCGTTTTGCAAAGCATTGGTAAGGTTACCGATTTCGTTACCAGTGTGGAAAAAATCTATGTGTCCCCTTATGCATCGATCTCAATGATATTCCTCTTAATTTCCTTCATCAGCGTGTTGCTTGCGAAGTGTGTAGAAGATCACATGCAAGCTCATTGACAAGTATGGAATGGTAAGGAGAAACACGTTGATTTAATTGGTCCTTAATTCACAAGCCAACTACCCCTTACTCCCCTTGTCCTTAAGCAATCATGAATACTAAAGTTAAGTTAAAGTGTGCTTTTTCGGGTCGGGTCCGAGAAGTAGTCCAGAGGGAAGTGTAAAATCAAGTGGGAACTTGTCTGTTGGCTGCCATCTATGGGTGGGTTGGCATCCTTCATCTAGAGAGGCTACTCTGTTGGCCATGGCTTGCATGAAAAGACCTGGATAATGGGTAGGGTTTGACACGTATTTGGTGCCATCAACATGGACGTCTTCTATGATGTGACCACAACCACTATTGGACATGGTAAAATTGCTACCTTTTGGCATGCACCTTGGCATGGGGGGCACAAGTCAAAACACATTGATCAATCCACTTCCGCAATCTCCAAGTGCAAGAACCTAATGCTTGAGAGAGCTTTGAAGCATGACCAATGGATCACAAACATTAAGATAAATTTAGGTCTCTCTATGCAACACATAATTGATTATTGCTTTTGAGATTTGGGTCAGTTTGCATGACACAAGCGATGACAACCAGGGTGAAATTGTTTGGAACCTTTCAGTAGAGTACTCGGCATCATCAACATATTCCGCTCCACACGACTCCAGGAACTTTTAGTTCTTGAAGCCGCCTTTTTGAACTATTGGTTGTTTCCTAGCGACAGTTTTTTGCATGGCTTATCTTGGAAGACTAGGCGTGGGCAGTTGAGAAACTACACCGTAGAGAACGGTTTATGTCAATCATGCGGAAGGGAGCCAGAGTCAGCTGTTATTGAAGTGTAGATTCACGAGGTGTGTTTGGAATGAGAATAAAGTGTTTCTTGGGCTTATTGATGTTATAACACCGACGATTGGAGCTACTTCAACATGGTCAAAGATTATTCGTACTCTATGATCAACAACAATATAAAAGTGATGAGGGGGTCACTTCCCTCCTTATTATTAATTCATGGGAAATTTGGAATGAGTTGAATGCGAGTATTTTTATGAATCTTTCAGCCATGTCTAATATCATCACTCGCAAGGTAAAAATGGAGGCCACACTTTGGGAGTGGCAAGTGCAGAAGATTTGAGATTGATCATGCTACGAGAGTAGGTGAGATGTTTATGTGCCATACTTTGGCTAACTTCTAATTGTTGTAAAACTCTTCTTAACTAATGAATGAGGCAATTGCATCCATTTCAAAAGAGGAAAAGTGTGTCATTATGGATATCACCAAGGTCTTCAAATGCATATTTTACCACAAACTATTATATGATGTTCCTGGAGCACAAGAAGATAAAATATTATGAACTACATTTTGCACAAATTTAAGTATATGAATTTTACTTATCTAGTTAAAGTAGCTAAAGTTTGACTACACCTAGTAGTTTGGTTGGAAGGGAATGGGAATTTGGGGTATGTTAGATACAAACTAACTTGTTTGGTCGGAATGGATGAGATTTTTAGTAGAGACTAAACATAGGAGTTTAGAGTTCACCTCCCACCATTTTAATAATAGAAAAAGGGTGGGAATTGGGAACGGGTTGCTTTAAAAAGAGCATCTTGAGGCATCATCGTAACTTATGTAATGATCTCTTACTTTTCTTTGAGGGGTCGTCACCATGGTGCACTTCATTGATAACCAACCAATAGTTACATCGTCCGCATGAGAGTTCAAAATAATGGAGGATCACCGACCCATATTTACAACTGATATGTTGGACAAAATAATTGTGTTGCCACATTCGCTTCCTGGTGACAATGCATAAAGTCCACCATGCCAATATCATAGTACAAATTTGAAACATGGCATAGATAGGCAACATGTTGATTCCACCATGTTTCCTCCCGGAAATGCTTTAGTAACCTCCATATTATAGGATTCGACTTGCAAAGAGCCAGACCATTGTTATCATCTCTTACTTAAGCTCTCATTTAATTCCCACAAACTCTCTCAAATTGTGACACATAATTCCTTGTAGATACCAAAACAAAGGTCTCAGGAATAATGTGACTCATCATTTCTCTTTCACATAAGCCCCTGCATCTTAACTTCCATTCCCCTTCGCAAAAGTTGCCAAACACACTGGGATAAAAAAGACAAGTATGTTTGAACTGGGATTAAAAAAAACAAAGGTCACAACTTAATATTGTTACCTTTAATACCAAATTATACGAAAGCTCTACCTTCTCCATTTTCAACAATTTATGCCTCACAATACCTTGTTGGCAAACGTCTCACTTCCACGTGTCACTCCATCAAGACTGATATCGTAGGCGACCAACCAGAGCCCTCAAACACTTTTCCATCCCGCTTACAAATCATGGCCAAGTGGCAGCTAGCAAGCTCGCGAAGCTCGAGGATGACAATAGCGAGCCACTGTCTATGTGCAACTCATTTAGTAATGGGTGGTGCAACCATGTTTGACGTTGGGTTAGTCGGGGGTCTTGGATCCTGACAACCAAGAGCCAACGACGCATTTTGCATCTTCCTAGGCTGCTGACACTTTGTGGATCTGGACCTGATGCCTCTCGCAGTGGGGAAGGGGTGGATGGTGAGGGAGCTCCAGTGATACTCTTCGTCCTCTGCGCTGCCAGCTACGTGCATGCGCGCTTGTGTGTGTGTGAGAGAGAGAGAGAGAGAGAGAGAGAGAGTATACAAAATTGTGTGAGTTGTATTTGGTTATTGGACAAGTCTGAGCGGTTTTTCATTGCATTCTGGTGGTCCACACATGGAGATACACTAGTTAGTGTTGGGCCTCTCAGATGAGAAGGTATCTTCCTTGTTCCTTCGTGGAGGCATGGGAGGTTTGGAAGCCGAGGAGAGCCTTGGATGGTGATCATGATGGTCTCGTGACTAAGAATTGTGACATGGAGGGCTAGTTTTCTTTCTTGTTTGCTAGGTATCAGAGTGGTCTACTGGTGATCGGTCATGGTTCACGACACGTTTGTTACGCCCGCCCCCGTCCCCTTCCAGATCCGGGTGGCATCTTCTTGACCTCCAATGCCCTGTCTTGGTACCCATGTCATACCTTTGTGTGATGGTGGTCCACGTAGCCAATAATGACGTTCTTGGATGTCTCTTTCCTCCTTGGACGCATCATTGAGGGTCCATGCTCATCTTACTCGAGTTCCGAGTGAAAATCCTTTGCCCGGATTATCAATTCGGGAAGTACTACAATGTCATTACTAATAAAAAGGCTTCGGCCATGGAACCTTGGGCCCTGATGCGCATATTGATATGTTGTTGTGAGGCAGTCAACAGTAGTTGTGATCTATGACATGGCCATTTGTCTTTCTTCTCCTTGGCAGGTTTCTCATCATTCCAAACGCTATGCTTTAGGTGAGATTCTCTACTCGTCAACCGCACAACACCCATCGAACTAGAGCGAGAGCGTAGGGTTCTCTTCGTCGATGCATACAAATGAGTGTGCGACATGTTCTAGCCTTCTTTGAAATGGACGAGGGTGTTTTCACCTTTACTTGCCTACTTGCACACCAAGTTCCTGCTTCACCATCACTCTCGCGAGTGCTTCATCGAATCCAAGGTCCACTTTTCCGCTTTACTTTTGTTAGTTAATTCCTGTCTTCTGCCCTATAAGTTGTTTCCTCGGCACTTTGTATCTCTACTACAACCGTTTGGAGCTTTATTAATTTAAAGGAGGCTCATCAAGCCTACTGTCTAAAAAGAGATATGCATCACATTAGATTTTGGGGGTGAATAGATGAATATGTGCTTACATTTGAAATTTGGTTCACTAATTTCCCACGACTCTAATATTGGACTGTTTATTACCAAGCCATTCTCCAAGCACATAATTGTGTTTGTTACATACACTTTAGCTATATGTAAATCACCTAAAAGTTAATTTTGAGTTAATTGATTTTTTGACCATAGATTTCTGCTTTGAGATACCTGCTTTTTCCTGTGGGCCATCATGTGAGCTGGTTTGCGGTGTGTCTTGTTTTTTATTGACCGACCACATATTTGGGTCAGTCGATTGGCTAGTGGGTTGAAACCCATTACCTATGCCACCCTGCCCTCCCTTCTCTCCCTTTGTTTCTTTTTTGCCTTTTCTATTTTTATATGTTTCTTCTTTTGTTTTTTGTTTTTCTTTATTAATAAATTGTTTTCTTTGTAGGTATTTTTGGGATGTTGGGTGAGTGTAAATGTATACACATAAATACTATGCAATAGTGCAAAAATTACACTATTATATGATTGTCGTTTGCATGCAATAAAAAGTTCAACTTCAGTGCAAAGTTGTGTGCAAGTTTTCTTTGAAAAATCATTATCTATTTTCTTCAAGATTTATACCAATGTCACTAATTCATTGTTTCTTATTAAATTTTATTAATTTGATTTAGTGATCATTTCATTTTATTTCTTCTTTAAGGTTAATATCAATGTCACTAATTCATTCCTTGTTAGGAAACATTTTTTGATCAATTCACACTATTATATGCTTATTCTTTCGTATTAAAAATAAAAATTATGTATATTGTATGCAAATTTCGTCATTGTGTGTTTTAACTTTTTTATTTTCTTTCTTCTTAAAGGGTAATACCAATGGCATTAATTCATTCTTCCTTAGAAATCCCATATTTTTTAATTCTTTATTTATTTTCTCTATTCTTAAAGGATGATACTAAAGTCACTAATTCATTCTTTTGTAGAATCCATTATTTTGATGTTGTCTTAGTTTTTATTTCACTTCCTTTATTCTTTTATGATACTACCAATGCCACTAATTCATTCCTTCTTACTTCTATATTTTGTAGAAATTACAATATTATATGTTTATTCTTGCATATTTTAAAAAGCGCAATTTTTATTTTGATGCGCTTTCATTTGTCCATTGGATGGTGCAAAATCGGATTTACCACAAGTATTAGAATTTCATACGACTGGCCCTTTTCTTCTTTTGATTATTATCTGGTTAATGCTTTGTATTTTGCTTTCGATGCACTCTTTGCCTTTCTTCTTTAATATATAATATGCACACTCGTGGATATTCAAGAAAAAAACAGGTTTTCTATTTGTGCACAATTTTGTGTTACGAACTTAAATGGAATTTATATGTTAATCGTTTTTGCTATTCTTCTGTCACATGAAATCTTTTTTAGTTAGTCAATCTTTTCGTCTGTTTTAAAGCAGCCCAGCTACATAGGATTGTATCATGTGTGTGATTCAAGTATACATAAAAATGACCGATCTCTCGCTGACCTACGCCTGAAAGAACTAGCGGCCCTATGCATGTTTGCTACAGCTGGATGATGAAAGCATCTCTTTTTTTTTGCGAGGGGATGAAAGCATCTCTGCTAGTACGTAGGAACACACAAGCAAATATAAAAATCAACTAGTGATAAAGCAGCTACAGCTGGGTGATGAAGTAAGCAGCCACTAGTACGTGCACTGCTAAGCAGCTGGGTGATGAAAGATATGGAGTAAATCGACAAACAGAATTTTTAGATCAGTCGACTGACCAAAATAGAAAAATCATTCAACTTGCATGTAGGCTGTCCCTATTACGTATGTAATGAACTGAAATGAAAGGCATATACCTCATAAAAAAATCATACAGTTCATCTTTGGTCAGTGGGTAACCATTGGAAAATGTCACGAACAAAGTTCTCTCATCAGGTGGAACATCAGATAGTTGTTGCATGATCTGCAAAGAAATATATTATTATTTTCTCTTCAAGCTAGGAACTGCACTAAGTATTTGGAAGAAAGCTATAAAGTCTTATTGGAAAATAAACAAATGAACATGCAAAGAATGATCAGTGATGATGGCTTTCTTACCGCATCGTTATGGTTTTCTCTTAAGCTCAACTTATCCAGCAATGCTGCCAAACGGGAGGTTGATTGATAATCATGGCGGAACATATGACTTGTTTGAGCATGCATATTTCTTGAACTTGAGCCTTCTCCATGATGCATTTGACTTGTTTGAACATGGATATTTCTAGAACTTGTGCCTTCTCCAGGATGCTTTGGAGTGTTAGCATACAAAGCCTTGATCTTGGTAAGAAGGTGATTCTGCATAGATGACTTGGTGAATCAGAAAAAGTAGAAAATACTTCACAAACTATTAACAGATATTTCATTATTGCAGATTTGAACTACTCTCACCGAGCTTTTAGGAACATCAGATGATTGTTGCATGATCTGCAAAGTATTGGATGAAAGCTATCAAGTCTCATCAGAAAATAAAAGAATGAACATGCAAATAATTATTAGTGACATATAATCACGATGCATAGAATTTATGGCGTTCTTACTGCATCATTATGCTTCTCTCTTAAGCTCAAGCTATCCAATGATGTCACCAAACGGGAAGTTGAATGATAATCGTGTACTTCGTCATTTATATGACTTGTTTGAACATGGATATTTCTAGAACTTGTGTCTTCTCCATCATGATTTGGAGTGTTGACATACAAAGCTTTGATCTTGGTGAGAAGGTGCTCCTGCATAGATGACTTGGTAAATCAGAAAAAGGCAGAAAATACTTCACAAACTCTAACAGATCTTACTACCCTGCATGAGCAGTTAACTATCTTATTAAAACCAACAATCAAAAACTAAAATACTACTGATGTTTGTTGGAATTAACCATGCTGTTGTAGTCCGGCTAGGACAAGAATCAATCACCGTATAGGATTAGGAGAGTATATATAGCTAGCTATGGCTGCATTATATATACCTATAACCTACCCCTGTAACACAAGATCAGAGCAATAAACTACAAGAGTGACACGCTCGTCGTGTGCGTGTCTCCCGGCGAGATCAATCGATCTACACCTAGCATCAGCGTACAGGGACCAAGGCCAACAATTTCATTATTTGTAGGTATAGATCAGTCATCTGCATGGATGATAAGGTAAATCACAAAAGGGTAAAACCCTAGCTAGTCTTACCGAGCCTACAGGAACCCGATCAGTCATGGACTGTCTATAGGCATTATGGCGCAGATATGTCCTCTGATTATGGATAAAATCCATCTCTATTCTTTCTCGAAGATCTTCCAAGGCCTCGTAACAGATACCATTGAGGTAGAAAGAAATTCCTTCAACAGCTTCCTTCTTAAAGTCACTTCTTGGTATAGATCTGCTCGCTAAATCATCAAATCCGAAATGGAGAAGTTCCAGAAAACGTTTTGCAGAAGAAACAAGGGCACAAAAATGGTTGTCACCAAAAGAGTATATGCGCCGAAGGAAATCAACTTGGCCATTCCCTTGGAGCCACAACCAAAAGGCAATTATCTCCATGGAAAGGGAAGACTCAACTTGAAGACCAAAGACCAAACGGAAGAACAACTCTCGAAGAAGCATATAGTAAGAATTTGAAGCATTCACTAGATCGGGTGCCATGGAAGGTGTGGAAGGCATACAGCAGGATGAGTTGCTTCTTCTTTTTTTAACGGGAGGATAGAAGAGTAGCTAGTTTTGAATCAACAGATTCATATGAGGAAGAAGAAAGCAGGAAGAAGAAGGTATGTCGGGTATGCTTATCATTTAGGCAAATGAATAAAGGTTCAAACAAAGATGCTAAGAGTTTAATACCTCCCAAAAAGTATGAGTGGAGGATAGGCAGACGTGACAAATAGAGCAAACTGTGGACAGCCTATACTCATTAATGACGGTCCCATTATAGGCATACTTGCCAAATAACTGCTGAAATATTTGCATGCGCCACCTTTATGGTAATATCATATTACTATACAAAACCAAGCGTATCTGGAAACACATATAGAATTGAATTTAAAAAATTGTATACAGAATATTTATTATTAAATGCTATTTAAAGGGTACCTTATAAAAAATCTACCCACTTTATGTTGGCAAATAATATATTTTCATTAGTTGTTTTTTCGGAAAGGAGCCAGAACGACCGTCAAATTTCACCAAAAGTAGAAAGAAACTCAAACATAATAAAACTTACATCGACGTCCTTAGACCACTGAATGACCACTGTGCTGCTAGAATGAGTCACCGATGCACCGCTCCCCTCCCGGAGCTGACATGGACTTGTCGATGACGGTCGGGAAGTATTCATGCATATGTCCCTAAGGACCGGCGTCCTAGATCCACAATTGTCATGGTTGAACCTTGGATCAATCTGAAGTGCCCCACACCAGATCTCTCGCCATCAAGCACGACCACAAGTAATCCTAACCTTGTTGTTCCAATGAGATGATCGGAATCTAGATGGGAGTTCCATCAACTCCACCCGAGGACAAACTTGAGGAGGATCGAAGCTCGGAAGACCAGTTCAAAGATGAAGTGTCGCCATCCAACCAAGTGCCGCCAATGCGAGGACTGAAAACACCTAACCTAAACTATAGTTGGAGCCGAGGCACCGAGATTCCCCTCCCAGCCACTGGTCACCGGGGCGACAGGTGGAGAGGAGGTGAATCCACGGTCTCGCTTGCGGAGCCTGGAGGGGATGAGTTCTTCGCCCTAGGCACCACTTTCACAAGAGGGGAAGGAAAAGACGTAGCCTCATTAGTTCATATAACTTTTTTTAGCTAATGCCTCATAGTTAGAATTGGTTGTTCCAGAATTCCTTCTTCATAATCACAACCATCGATCCCATCTAATCGCCTAGATATAAATTTTAAATTTTCTCCTTAAATTTCTACAATTGTCATATGTAGTTCTCAGTTCACATATGTGTTGTTATATATTTCATACAACAAAATTTTAGAAGTTCGTAAAAAATTGAAACACGTGTGTGAACCCAGGGGATAGAAACTATTTGTGCATATTCAACACGTGCATGATATATAACACCACGCCCTTGTCATCTGCCCTCATGCAGCGGCGCTCTGGGAGGCTATGCGAGGGCACTGGGCATTACCGAGCCCTGCTGACCTGCGTGATGCTGAGCCAGAGTGGTTGTTCCGCCTGCTTGATAAATTGTCGGAAGGGCAGAAGCTTGCTTCATTGATGATCATGTGGAGGATTTGCTATGCAAGAAATGACATCACACATTATAAACCCCGATCTCGATTGAGGCCTCGCGCCATTTCCTCTCGAGTTATATCACTTCCCTAATCGCAATACGGCAGTATCCCGAAGCGAGCGTTACGAAGGGCAAGCAGGTGATCGATTACCTGGGAAGCACGTCAAAGAACACACATGAAACAATAGTAACGTCGCAATGGAAGGCCCCTGATGTGAACTATGCTTAGTTGACTATAGTTGGTGCTTTTTTGAAAGAAGATGGTACAGCCGGGGCTGGGATCATCCTGCGGGATCATGAAGGAGCGGTCTGTTGGAATTATGTGTCCTGCAACTATATTCAAATTACTAGTAATTTACTAATATTCGGAATACCTCATTATGGAATTGTACATGTATTTATACATGGAATTGATTTACATGTTTAGTATGGAATTGTTACTTGCTGGAATGTACTTAAGTGATATATGCTTAAGGAAGCTGGTCGATTATTAGTGGAATACAATATACTATTTATATTGGAAAGACTATCCGGGTACACTGATGATTGGAAGGAGCTAGATCGTATAGTTAGATTACAGCCCTAACGTTGATCTACGTAACTAGAGGAATTTACACTCTATTATGGCGCGTTGCTCACAAGCGCGTGCTCCGGGGACATAACGGGTAGAATCCGTTAACAGACAAATATGATCGTGGTTGGTAATTTGATCTGGACTCTATCCCGGAAACTAGTGGAAGAAAAACTAGGAATCTTATATCTGTATAAGAGGTGGACTCTTTGGAAAGACAGTATAAGAAGGTCCCTACCCCTAGCCTCACAGATGCGAATTGTCAGCGGCACCACGGATAAGCGCAGAGGAATTAGGGGTAGACCGCAAACCCTAAAATTCTTACATTGGCATCATGAGCAAGGTTCGGTCCCGATCACCCTAACCCTAATCCGCTGCGTACCCGATCTGCTCCGAACTCTGCTCCCGTGGTCGCCGATTCCACTGTGAACTCGTCTCCGTTTTGTTATTGATCTACCCCGACACGTCGTCCGTGGAAACTGTTGCGATATCTGCACGGGAGAGCTAGCGCGACGCGTTGGTCCTTCCGGCTTGCGCGTCGCCCGGTCGGTCGATGTACGACATGCAAGGAAATCCAATGGAACGGAGCGGCCGTGTAAAATCCGTCCAAGGAAAGCATCCAAGGTCCAAGTCCCGAGGAAGTCATGTTCATCAACACGAGACCATCAGATCAATTGCTATTGCTACTAGTACTCCACGTGAAAGCACATGCAATTCTTGGTCACGTCACATGGATCAAGGAAAGAAGGAAGTCAAGCCTGGCATTGCTACGTACGAGCTATACAGAAATCAATCAGGCTAGCTTCTATGTGCATGCGTCGGAATCTAGTCCGCTACCGGCACATCCTACAGCGTGTGTTCGTCCGTATAATCGCTGAGTCCTTCGCCGTGAGGTCTTCTACTAAATCTTAACTCAACAACTTGCCAAGCCGAACGAGCAACTGCTCGGAAACTGCAGGTCACGCCCACGCCTGCTGCCGGTCTACCGCTGCTACCTACATCATTGATAACAGCAGTTTTCTCTCTGAAAAACTACTGGAATTTCAAGGCAATAGTTAAAGGGAAGAGATGGAATTTCTGTTATTTATTATGCCTAGCATCAGTCAACTGGACCGGCTGGAAGAACCACATGCACCACGTGCTATGGGGAAGATATGCATATTACAATCATAACTCTTATCTATTAATTAGTTTATTTTATTAGATCGTTGATTAACGGACTAACTTGTTTTGGTTGCTAATTTCGTTGCATGTAAATCATAGCAAGGAATCTACTCCTTGGAAGAAATTTAGGAGGACTCCAGACAATAAATGCATGAAGACTGAGCAAATGATTATATACTGAATATTGCTATGATGGAAATATTATGCGGAAAATTATGCATACTAGAAAGGGATTTGGGAGAAGTGTTATTATTGAGCATCACTTGTTTATGGAGGAAAGTGTGAGTCACTCCGAGGACAAGGAAATTTGCTCTTCATCTATCGGTATGTCTAATGATAATATTTGCACTCTAATTATATTTATTGATGACTATTCTTTTCAAATAGTCGGATTATGGTGTTTGTTTGTATACATCATATATTATGGAATACAATAGCGACTTTGTTTCTGTTGAAACAATTCCAAAGGAACAAAGATGATGTCTACTTAGGCACTAATGCTATATTTGACATACTTTGGAATTGAAAAATATGTCATTAAACTCCCTTGTGGAGGAACACCAATACTATTATAGGACACTTGTTCAACTTCAGTGAGAAAGGGTTTGATTTATTGTTCTATCTTGGAATCTATTTACTATGGCATACTATTGGAGAAATGAAGATTGGAAATATTGCTCAGTGGTAAAATTAGTGCATTACTGAATCTCACACAATGGTCTTCTCTTTATGGTACATTGGAAGTTAGCGACCCAAATTGTTTATTTGGAAAAGACAACTCCATATGGAGGAAAACTGACAATGGGAACACATGCTTGGAAACTTTTAATTGATGCTACCTATGACTTGGTCATATATCTTGGAACATTGTCAGGTGGCTCATTAATTATGGAATTCTATACTTTAGTGGGAGGAATTGGGTTTTATGAAGCACATATATAATGGTTTTTCTGACTTGCATGCCTTTTCTTAAGGTGGAAGAAGATAAAAAGATTCACATCATTTTCTTTTCTTCTGATATCCTTATAGTTTTTCTTTGCACTCCCACTAGAGGTCAGATTATTTATTTCATCTCACTCTTCGATGATTACACTTTTATATGGTCATACGTTTATCTTTTATATACAAGTCGGAAGGTTTTATTGTGCTGGTCATAGGTTATACTGAAGTGGAAAATCAGTTGAGTAAAGAATATCCTAGTTTTAACAACTGATTGGTGGGGGAAGTACACTTCAGGAACATATCATTTGTATGTAAAGAGCATGGAACTAATCACCATTCTAATATACCATATACTCCACAATTGAATGGAGGAATTGAATGTCTTTTATACTTCCTTGTTTCTTTGGAAAGAAGCATTGCATATTGTCGTTTGTTGATATCATTCTCCGTCTAGCATAGTCACTTCACCGGAAGGAAATCTTCTATTTTGGCATGAAACTCTCAGTTAAGCGCACACCAGGAATTTTTTCATGGTTATTCTAGTGGATCAAAGGGTGTTTCATTAATTATATGGAAAAGGAATACTGGCGGAAAGTAGGAACACAATCATTTTTATCATCAAGGGTGGAATTATTGACAATCATACTAGAATATAATCTTGACCCCAAGGAAACTACAAGTGACACTCCCAACATGACATGCTTAGGATAAGTGGGAGGAATTAACTTGGAATGTAATCTCTGGATA